GGTGCCGAGAGAGAGGAAATGGAAAATTTCTGTGCACTGGGTTTAGAGTTCTGCTACATAAAATGAAAAAGTTCCAGAGACCTGCTGTACAATAATGAACTTATAGTGAAAACTCTGTTCTGTGTACTTCAAAATATTAAGAGAGTGAATCCCTTATGCTGCTATACAAAAGCATTGTAAAACAAAAACAATAAAGAAAACTTCAACATAACTCGAGAATGAGTGTTTAAAAGTCAACAAAGGCTTAAAGGTTGAAGATGAATTTGGTATTATGGAACAGGAATGTCAGAGTGAGGGGCAGCGGAATGCTAATTGTGAGAGATAACCACCAAAATAGCCAGAAAATAGCCAGAGAGAGAACATCATGGAGCAAATTGAAAGTGATTTTATGCATGTTACTTTCCTATTGCACCGAATGCACAAATGTAATATTGGGAAATAAATAATAAATCACTTGTGGGTTTTAAAATTGAAAACACATGTCTAACAGACACTGACTTAATGTGATTTGATTATTGCGTTGTTACCCAAAGAGAGTCACAGACAGTGGTTAGTGCCTGCAGCTTTGGACAAGACAGACATATTTGCTGTGTATAGAGAACAGAGCAGTTGCTGGGAGAGGGGGATGTGCTTGGGAAACAGGGTGTTCAGAATAAAACTCTGACAGGATATACATAGTTGTCTGCTTTAACCATTTTGAAGGCCCCCAAATCTCTTAAAAAGTATAGCCAAAGGGACACTGCCTGATGTTCCATATGGTCATATTCATTTTCTTCTGTCCTTTCCTTCTAGGAAGGATGCGTTTTATACATGGTCTAAATATTTCTAGTTGTATTTATAATATTTAAGTACTATTCTAATCAGGGATGGGTACCATTCATCTCTAATCCTCTCTGGTAGTTCTCGAGGTGTGCAATGGACACTTTTGAGCTGTGAATGGACCATTTTCAGCAGTATGGAAAGGGCCTATCTACAAATACACACTGAGCGCTTACTTAACTCTGTGGAGAACTGAAGCCTTGAATACACAGTGTACAGTGTTGCAGGCTTGCTCTCCCTCAAGGGAACATTGTAGAATGCCCCTTTTACTTTCATTGCAATGAATAAGGAAGGTTTTAGCACAAAATATCCAGGAATGTGTGAGCATGAGTCTAATGAGTGCTCCAGTCGTCAGAACATAATGTTACTGGCTCCTCCTGGCCCCTCCTTTGATAGACTCAGGAGTCCATCATTCCATAGAGACAGGGGTAGGATGGTGTCTGGGATGTAAATGTGGGTGTTGGGTAGGGCAGAGAGTGTGAGGACAGAGCTTAGAAAGGGACGGGAAAGGACGAGAGAGAGAGAGAGAGAGAGAGAGAGAGAGAGAGAGAGAGAGCTTTCAAATACTCAGAAATGGGTTTGAAAGTTACCCTCTATGAGTTCTCATAATCGCTTCTGCTGGGATTAAAGACATGCATCATCATGACTGACTATAGTGTTTAGCCAGCTAAGAAATTATTGTCTAGACCAGGTTGGCCTTGAACTCAGAGACATCCACCTGCATGTCTTCCATAAGGGTATGCTAGAATTAAGATATATGTCAATGTACCAGACCCTGTTATTTATTTTAGGGATCAGTTTTCTGTTGCAATTAAGAGGCAAAACCATTACTCAGGTGAGCTGTCTGTGGCACAGTTTGATTAGTTCACACGTACATGCTAAACAGAATTCCAAGTGAGTTGAAACTAGTCTAAGATCAGGCCTTAAAAGCAAGACCCAGCCAGCTTTTCAGCACCCCAGAGAGTACTCTATCAGTAGTGACAAGTGGCAGTCTGCCCTCTTGGTGACCTCCTGTGGTTGACAGGTTTCATACTGCTGGAGGATGAAGACTCAGGCCTGTGCTATTGGGAGAACATCCAGATCTTTTCTTCCAAGTGTCAGAGATATCATGATGGGGAACAAAGGTCAGAAGTACAGTTAAGTTCAAGGTCCTTCAGCTTGGAACATTTTCATGATTTCTTTCTCTTTCTTATGCATGGTTTTGAATGTTGCGGTTGCAAATTTCTCAGTGTGCCTTGGCTGAAAACCACTTAATAATACTCTAGGAGCCTGACTTTCAAAGCTGTGCCATCAAAATGTATACCCCCAAGAAGCTCAGGTCACTTAAAATGTGTGATTGTCTGTTGCTTGATGTCTAGTTATAGTGCATATCAGATTTATTCAAAGTATTTGCTTTGAGGATTGAAGGCCCTGAAGCAGATAAGAACCCCACAGGAAGACCAACAGAGTCAACTAACCTGGACTCCTGGGAGCTTTCAGAGACTGAACCACCAAACAGAGAGCTAGACTGAGGACACCCCTTCCCCCAAGAACATATGTAGGAGATGTGCAGCTCAGGCTCTATCTGGGCTCCCCCAACAACTGGAGAAGGGGGCTGTCCTTAAAGCTGTAGTCTGGCTGTGGAATCTATTTCCCCAACAGGCCCACTTTGTCTGGCCTTAGTAGGAGAGGATCTGCCTAATCCTGAGGGAACTTGGTACACCAAGATGGGAGGACGCAGGGAGGGGGGGGGGGTGGGGGGGGGGGTGAGGGCACTCTGAGAAGGAGACTGGGTGAGGGACTCTGTGAAGGGGGATCAGGAGGTGAGCAGCATCTGGAATGTAAATCAAAATACTTTTTACCAACTTTAAATCAAAAGAGAGGCTGAATGACGTCACAGTGATAGCACTTCTATAATAATGATATCGAAGCAGCATTGCAATAATTTTAGAAGCTGCTTAAAGATACTTTAAACTTAAAAATAAATGGCCAAGTGGCTTCTTCACACATTAGGCAGTAATGAATACTTTAAGACACAAATCAACCCGAGTGCTATTGGGATTTATGAGTTGTAGGGGGCATTACTCCCTGGGAGGCATTTGAGGAGTGTTGGGGAGCGTTTTTGTTTGTCAAAATGATGGAAAGGGTCAGAATGGAATTTAGTGGAAGGATACCTGACTCTGAGGCTCTGTTTTATATATAAGCTGGAGGGTTTCTGTTTTCCATAGCACAGCAGCCTCCCCTGTTCAGGAGGTAATCTGCAAATGAAGGCAGGGCAGTTTTAGCAGTGGGTCATGGGGTAGAGTGCAGAAGCAGGGTGTGTGGGATAGAACTTTTCCAGGATTTTCCCTCCAGTTTAGGAAAAGATCTTGGCAATGCCAGAGCAGATTTGTATACCAGTCAGATTATAGACCTTACAGAAACAATTGGCCATACAATCATATTCTTTACATCATCAAAATAATAATAGCTTGAGACGATAATTTGGCATTTCTAGAAAGTGTGCAAGTTAAATTGCAAAAACTTGTTCTCAGTGTCCTCATTTTTCATAATGGTGTTGAGCCTTGAGGACTCATACATAATCAATTATGGCAAATAGATGTTACTCATTTTTGATTTTGGAAAATTGAAATATGTACATGTGACTTAACACTTTTTAGGCTTTCTAGTTGCAACTGCTTTAACAAGAGAAGTAACTAAAAATTATAATTAGTTATTGCCTATGTTATCTTTCTATGCTTGGTGTTCCATATCAGATTATAGACAATGGAACTGGCTATTGCAGTCAAACATTTGAGATGCTTTGTTGACAATTTAATATTACCCATATAACTGAGATTCCTTATAACCCAATGGAACAAGGAATTGTTGAATGTGCACACATGCAAAAAAAAAAATTGGCTCCTTAAAACTAAAGGGGGGGAATTATACCCCCCCCCCCCCAGGTCACCAAAAGCACATCTTGCTTTTGTGTTATTTGTTTTGAATTTTCTGCAAACTGATGCTAAGGGTCAGTCTGCAGCAGATCGCCACTGGCATCCAGTCACTTCCAGCTCATTTGCCAGGGTCGAATGGAGAGACCCTCTAACTAATACATGGAATAGTCCTGACCCTGTTTTAATTTGGGGTAGTGGCTCGGTCTACATTTTCTCAGAAAAAGAAAATGGAGCCTGATGGCTGCCTGAAAGATTGGTCCGTCAAGTGGACACAGATCTTGAGCCTAATAATTGTGATTCTGATGATGAAGATGGCTCAAAATCCTTCTCTGCCAGCTGATTTAACTTGGCATGTAGTCTTTTGTCAGTACTTAAAGCCACTCACTATACTGGTGGCCAGACTTTGTGTCTGAATCCCTGTCAACCAGCAGTTGGATTAGACACTGGAACATTTCCACTTCCGACCTTATTTTCCACATTGCTTGGATAAATCATGTTGCTTTTAACCTTTTGAACTTTGTGTCTCAAGCAGATAGGTTGCCTTCACACAGGATTACTCTCATCAAGCTCAGCTATTCATCATGGCAGTTATCCATTGCTATGAAGAGCTACATTGAGTGCATGCCCACAGGTCCTTGGTCTGAATGTGGCTTTGGTCTATATTTTGAGAAAGAGTGTGCCAACGAAGGCCAGTTAGTCAAAGACAGGTAAGAGTGTCTTGAGCTCCTATAAACCTAAGCCAGAGGGGTACATCAATATGCTATGTATTACCCCAAAGACGGGTAATATAGGAGCAATGTAGATGCCAACCTAAGACAGACACAGTTGCCTGGCCACTCTGTACCCCAGATGGGATGAAATATTGTACCCCATCCAGCTGCTGGCAATGCTCATATTTTATAAAACTAAAAAGGGGGAATTGTGCCCTTCCCCCAGCCTTGAGCAGGCCTGAGAGACCTTGTTTACCAGAATAGATCAAATAATAGGACCTAGGTGGAACTACCCACCTTGGCTGCATGACAATAGACACCTAGGTGGAGTTACCCACCTTGGCTGCACGTACAGCCTGCTACAGGAACTGCCTGCTGAGCTTGCCTTGAGACATCTCTGGCTGTGACCTGTGACCAAGAACAGATTATCCCACCCATCTCTCCTGGCTGAAACTAAGAAGGGTTTGGGCAGGGTCTTTCCCTTTAAATTGAGAGCTGAACATTAAAGCATCTAGCCTTGATCAGAGAACTTTGTCTTGGCTTCATCTCTTCTTACCCTCCGTCTCCCTTTCAGTCCCAGCCCTCTTTTCAGGTGAACCTGTTCGACTCGTGGCCGTGAGCGGCCAAGGATGGTTTTGAACTTCTGATCTTCCTGCCTCCACCTTCACCTCCATGGGGCTTCATGGTTTTGAGGTGTGCCTCTAGTCACATCCTAAGGCTTTAGGTGGTTTTCACGGGACTCTGGCAAGTTGTTAAGAGAAGGTTATTACAGACAACAAGACTGGCCTCTCCTGCCTCTGTTCTTGTTCTACTGCAGGACCTAACCCTGGGGCCTCACTAGAGCTGAACATATACTGCTCATCATCTTGAGCTTCTAACATGGAGATAAATAAACTTCCATTCTTTATAAAGTTCCCCAAAGTAGAAATTTCTGGTTTCTTTGGAGACTCAGGTTATAATGATATTTTGCTGGGGCAGACAGGTGAAAGGATATTTTGCTATAGCAGACACATGAAAGGATGCATGATGTTCAGAAAGAATATGAATATGACCCCACAGACAGTGGGACCTTGAGCTTTGGTTCGCCTTGCTCCACCTCGCTAGTCTTTACTGATAGCACGGATGCATTGGTTCACCTTACATTGCATTGCTGATCTTCAGTTGTAGTGACTTCATAGAGAGAAACTCACCAAAGAACTCCTGAGATTCCTTCAGCCTCTTGCAGATTCTTCACTCATGTGGTTGGTGAGCCTCATGGTTTTGTCTGGTTTGAACTGCTATTGCTGCTTCCTGTGTGGTGTCTGCCTGGTGGACTGGACTGAGAACTGGAATTGCCCCAAAGAACTATTTCTAAACAGGTTCATGTCCCCCATATCCTAATAACCATTCTTTTCCACTGCCTTAGCTAGGTGGTGGACTAGAGCAGAGGTTGAACCCTCACTAAAGTAGGTTGTGAAAAATATATGTCTACAGTACCCAGCCTGAGTTATTTTGTAAAAACAACGAAAGACAGAAAAAAAAATTACAGGATGATCTCATCTTTGGAGAACTTCTTTGCAATGGGGCAAACTCTCTGACCACTACTGAAGCCACGTATGCACCATCTCAGTAAGAATAGAATATGCCACAAACAATAACAAATCCTTTGAATGAGCACTTTAGACTATTTATTCAATAGATAGTTGTCATGTCAATACACTGTCAATGTACTGCACAGGAATACAATGTGCAAAGTATTGTTCTGAGCACTGTAATAGAACAGTGAAATTCTTTTGTTGTTGGAAGTGATCCTTAACTAGCATAATATAGATATGAAAGCAAGACTGATATCCATGCATTAAGAAGGATCAAGATGGGGAGATGGTATTGAATCCCACACCAATTAGATGACTGCAGCATAGCATTGTGGGATACACTCACTGGATCCTCCCACTTGACAACTGCATTTCTGAAGCAAAACAATTTTTCTGTTCTTTGGTTTGTATAGTTTTTCTAAAAATGTATTATCATGTTGATATTTTGCATGTTCTCTTTAGTCCTGTTGAAAACTTTATCCCCAATGTAAGTAGCAGAGTTGAAGAATTTTCTTTTAACTTTTCACACCAAGATCTCATACCTCTTATATAATTTACATTGTCCTTAAATCACCTTTGAGTTATTCTTTCCTGTTATCTATGCCATTAATACTATTGGTAAGTGGTTACTGAAGTCCCCTAATCATTATTTAAAGAAGTACAGCTACTCATTTATTAATAGTCTCCATTAAGACATTTCAAATTATCTTGAAAGGTGATTTAAGGTGTTAAGAGACACTCAATAGAGAGTTCAAAAATTATTCTAAAAGAGTCACTGTCACAAGACTGTGGTGACACATGCTATTATTAATCCCAAGTTGTGGGTGTTTCTTACAGATCCAGTTATTAGTGTTAGATGAGATTCACCCATTGTGTTCTTTAGTTAGTCATTCCCAAAGATCTGAAACAAGAACACACTGCTACAGATTATTCTCAAAATCTCAGGTGACTCCACTAGCCTTTCTTGGCTCAGTGAATAGAAATTCAATAACAAGAAAGGCCAATTCTTCACAAGTTTGTTCTGAGGTTCCAGTTAACAACTGTCATTTAAAAGAATTCACTCGGAACCACTTTAAGATTGGGAGAATTTGTGAGTCACCCAAGAAAAAGTGAGTTACGCCACAATTAGTTCTTTTTTCTGGTTAGGAGTTTTGAGTTATGGTATAATTCTTTTGAAGCAAGGTATCCATGTTTGGCAATTCTCAATTAAGAGAACATTCAACTGATTAGGATTTCTTTATTAGGATTTCTTTATGTCAAGATATAGTAAGCAACCCTCATTTTAAAAGGACATTTCCTGCTCAGGTGTTTTAATCTATTCAATTATATAAATGATTGTGTTTGCATGAATCTTGAGAGAAATGGCTCAGTAGTTAAGTATAATTGCTTAGCACCCATGTCACAAGCCTCTGTTCTAGAAATGGCCGTAATTCCAGTTCTGAGGGTCCATCATTCTCCTCTGGAGTCCACATCCACTCATACACATGCACATGTACTCATACTCACACACATGCATAAGTACACAAGCAAACAAACAAAAAACCAACCAACCAACCAAATAAATAAGTGATATTTTTCAATGGATAAAGACTAGTGCTGACATTTTGGAGACCCGGCATTGGCTCTTAATGATTTCTATAATCAAGAGGGATAAACACATTGGAGAAGACTTTTTTATGAAGTCATTCAAAACTATTATTCTCTTTTATTGCTAGAGTTAAGCACTAGTAACCCTTCCTGGACACACAGTAGATACTTAGCAAAACTTCACTGAGGATATGACTCAGTCTCTAGTGCTCTTATTGGGCAAGCATGAGGACCTGAATTTCATCCTAAACATCCACGCAAAAAATGAGCGATGGTGTTGGACCAGGGCGGTTAGTATGATAGAAAGGTCCCTGGGGATTGTTGTCCAGCTGAATTACTAAGCTCCAGGTTCAGTGAGAAACCTCGACTCAAAAAATAAGGTGAAGATTGACAGAGGGAGATATCTAGTGTCAATCTTTGGCCTCTGCATGCACATGTATATGCCAACATGTACACACACACACACACACACACACACTGAGTGAATAAATGAATAAAGAATAACATGTCTCAACAATAGGGAAGGCAGAAGGATGCTGCTGTGTGGGCTATAGAGAAGTCTGCTGTGAGGTTTTCCCAACTTGTTGTGACCCACAAACTATAGTGGCCTTCGGCACTCAGGGACTCCATCGCCTCTGGTTTCAATTGAGGACTATAATAATTAGCAGGATCTACCATATTGCCAAGAGAATAAGTAAGGTTTTACATATTAAAGTATTTAGCCCACAGAACACTATCCATAAATACCAGCTAATTTTAGAGTTACAATTTACAATTATCACTGCATAATTATGCAATTTTAATTGTTCTAATAATGAATTAAGGTCCTAGACTTTCCTTTAAGAATGTTTTAATTTATTATTTGTGTATGTGAGAGAGAGAGAGAGAGAGAGAGAGAGAGAGAGAGAGAGAGAGAGAGAACGAGAGAGAGAGGAGGTAAGAGAACAACCGTCTGGAGTCATTTCTCCCTTTTACTGTGTGTCGGGATCACACACTCCTCCAGCCTGAGCATCTTCTACTTGCTGAGTCTTCCTGTCAGAGACTCTAGACTCTCTGTAAAACCATTGAAATCAAGTACTTCAAGGTCTGTCTGTAGGTTTTATAAAGGACCTTTCTAAAACTGCCTTGGTGTTAGGATGGGAAGTTAGGGTGGGATGTTGAAGTCTTTTTGTAATATACTCAAAAGTAACTGACCAATGATCTGTTAACTACTTTTAATATTAAGTAGAAGTAGTATTAAATTCTCTGTAAAAGATGTGAGAGATGGAATGTTTTTCTTTACCTTTAGTCTCTTTCTCTCTCTCTCCCTCCCTCCTTCCCTCCTTCCCCCCTCTCTTGTGTGTGTGTGTGCACGAACATACATGTGCGTGCGTGTGTCCATGTGTATGTGGAGCCCAGTGTTGACATTGGCTCTCCTCCACTTTGGCTCATCATGTTATGTTTAGGACAGAATTTCCTCACTGAACCCAGAGCATACTGACTGGGTAGGCTGGGTGACCAGCCAGCTCTGAGGACCTGCCTGTCTCTGCTTTGCTCACATTATGGTTCCAGGTGCGTGTGAGTACACTTGGCTTTTAGGTAGGGACTGAGATTTACACCTGAGCCCTTACACCTGCTCTGTACTTTATGGACAATTATCTCCCACAGACAGTTTAAAATGCAAATAGCAGAATGGCATTCTAGAAGGTTCTTGTTCTGGTTCACACCAACTGCATAGCCTTGCCAGGAGTTTCAGTCTGATTTACATCAATTTTCTTCCCTTCATGCCATCATTTACCTTAATCTTTGTTGACTATGCCTGAAATCTAGTCTCTGGGGACATTTACTCTGAAGGAACACGGAATTTCCCTACCTCCTTGTCTGAATTTTGAAAACAGCTTTAAAACCCCTTATTTTAAAAATCCAATCATTGTCCTAGTGCAATGTCTCTTTCTTCATAGGCTATCCACTGGAATGCTCAGGGATGTCTCCACTGGGGCCTCCAGTTAGTGGGCCTGCTTTAGTGAGCTGGTCCCAACCTTGGCGCTCTCTCCCTCCCTCCCTCTCTCCCTCCCTCCTCCCTCTCTCTTTCATCTTCTGTCTCCTACAGCCCACAGTCTGGTGTGCAATATTGCTCAATAAATGTAAATTGCTCCTCTTTAAAAATATAGTAGAAGGTCCTGTGTCTTTCAAAGTGAAAATTGTTTTAAAGAGAGTATGTTTCATGTTTTTTTTTTTTAAATCAAGAATTGTTCTAAAAACAGAAGATTTAGGATATAAATGAATGAGTGAGAAGAACACGTATGGATTGAGGAGCAGAGGAAAAAGAGGCGTGTGGATTTGCAGCCCACGTAATGGTCGGAATGCTCTACTTGCTTAATGCCTTGAGGCCTCTTGAGAGAAAAGCCACCAGAACTGTTAGCTCCAGAACTTCAGTGAGGAGAAGGGCAGTAGTGGCAAACATCCCAGCCTCTCCCGGGGTGAGCTAGGGCCAGCCATAGCTGTCTTCCCATGGCAGATGGCCAGCTGCAGAT